GTCGACAGAAGTATAAACAAGATCTAAAAGCAACAATCAAATCACAGGATGTATGGTTTTTTTCCTATTCTATATCAATTATCATATATCAGAGAAAACATCACATTTGACTTTTGGGGACTGCTTCATTTCACTCTGCATGATGGCCACAAGTTGACAGACATCTAGATTAATCCCATAGCTTCACTATTGTGAATTGAGCCATAATAAACATAGGGGTACAAATAATTCTTTCAAATGCTGATTACATTTTGTTTGGATAAACTCCCAGGGGTGTAATATCTGTTTTACATGGTAGATCAGTTTTCAGATCTCAAAGGAATCTACTGTTTTCCATAATGGTTATGCTAGTACACACTTCCAACAGGCACATTTCAAATGATAAAATGTAAATGGCCACATGACATCCAAAAAAATACAAATAGGGCCCAGTGCGGTAGGCTGGCAGCTAAATTTGTCACTTTGAACATGCCAGGATCTCATATGGGCACTGGTTCTAATCCTGGTGACCCTGCTTCCCATGTGGCTCCCTGCTTGCAGCCTGGGAAAGCAATCGAGGACGGCTGAAAGCCTTGGCACCCTGCACCTGTGTGGGAGATCCTGAGGAAGCTCCTAGCTCCTGGCTTCAGGTCAGCTCAGCTCCTTATGTTGCGGCTGCTTGGAGAGTGAATCAATGGATGGAAGATCTTCCTCTCTATCTCTATTCCTCTATATCTGACTTTGCAATAAAGATAAATAAATCTTTAAAAAAATGAATAAAAATTACAATGAGAGTTCACCTCATCTGGATTCAAGTGATTTCATCCAAAAATTTAAAAAATACTAAATGCTGGTGAAGATGTGTGGGAAAACGAACCCTAATAATACTGTTGATGGGAAGTAAACTTTGAACTCTAATGGAGTCACACAGGTTATAAGATTCACTCTGAAAACATCGTTGTTCACTGGAATGGATGAAATGATGATGGAAATAGTGGTTGAGATTGACCTGGGTGCCACAAGAAAGGAAAGTACAGACAAAACAATCGAAACTAGCTTGAAAATCCAGAAATCATTAGCAGAGTGGGGCAACTGGAGTCATTTTTGCTCTGAAAAGTTAACATGTAACAAACTGGTAAAACTTTTGTTAGAGCCAAAGGTAAGAATCACCTGATAAGTGGATTCAGTTTGTCTGTGACCATCTGGGTAGGAACAGACAAGTTTGATTGTTATGAATAGTAGGAGTCTTTCTCCCTTGCCCTATTTCCCATTTTGTATATCAAGTTATTGGCAGTATATCCTTGTAACATAATATGGTCTTAAAAATCAGTGCCCAGGGACCAGCACCGTAGTCTAGCAGCTAAAGTCCTCACTTTGCACATGCTAAGATACCACGTGGGCACCAGTTCTAGTCCCACAGTCCCGCTTCCCATCTAGCTCCCTGCTTGTGGCCTGGGAAAGCATTCAAAGATAGCCCAAAACCTTGGGACTCTGCATTCACCCATGTGGGAGACCTAGAAGAGGCTCCTGGCTTCAGATCGGCTCACATCCGGCCATTGGGGTCACTTGGGGAGTGAATCATCAGATGGAAGATTTTCTTCTCTTTCTTCTCTGTACAAATAAATCTTTAAAAATCAGTGCCTAAACATTTGAGTTTATAGAGATCCAAGAGTGAATGAACATACTATGAGGAAAAACCAGATGTCTCCTTAAGTCATATCTGCAGAACTTCTGTATTTATGATCAAAAGGAGTACCCACAGCAAAATTCTACATGATAGACTATGAGGGCACATTCTTTGTTTATTTATCCAGAATGTTCGTGAATGGGCTAATGTTGGTATGGGGAGTCCTCTGCTTCCTAGGAAATGAGATAGTAAAATATAACCTTCCAGGAAGGAGGAGGTCTGGGTTATTGATGTCTAAGCAACTTCATCCTCCAGCTTTCCCTACTTAATTTACAATCTTCTGCCACTGCTTTATAGGAGTTTTCAAAAGATGTGATTAGCTTTACTTACAAGAGTTTCGGAGTAATGATGTGTCAGCTATAAACTCATTCAGCTAATCTGAAGGGAAATTTTTAGAGCAGGAAGAACCAGACTCAGAGGTGCTGACTTGTGATGCACAATGGCAAGTAGGTTTACTAGTTAAAAGATCTAATGATTTAGTTTCCTAATTGTGCCAGAGAATCTAAGTAATGAGGGACAAAAAGGGAAACCTGGAGAGCAAGAAGAACAAAGTTACTCTTTTCCATCCTCAAAAACCAAACTCTTTCTCTCATTAAAATGAGCAGAAATGTTCAATATGATTTTGAACTGAAGTTAGAGTGACTTGAGAGTCAAGGTTGTGGATGGCATACAGAAGCAGATGTGTTTATTAGATCTGCAGTGTCACAGTTCACAGTGAGTAGACCTGCAAGTGCTGGACTAAAATTACCTTCTGAGCAAAAGGTAAGGTGAGTCTGTAAACATGGAAGTCATGAAAATCGTCTATTCATTCACCGACTCATTGCTCATATACAGAGCATCCCTGTTTAAATGCAAGCCATTCAGGATTACACAAAGCTGTGACAGCTGTGATCCTTGTGGAAACTATAACAATGTTCCAGTTTCAGAAGTGCAAGAAGATAGTGTCCCAAATCTTAGTGGTGTAAGATGACGATTTACAACACTCAAGGAGCAGAAGTGAGGAACTGACTCAGGGCACAGGAGGCATGACATGTCGCTGCACCTTATGGTCTGAGATATCCTGAGTGAAGGTCGGTAGCTGGAGTCAACTGGAGCTTACTTATTTGTTTGTCCAGGGGTTGGTTGTAGCAGTTAATAGGAGACTAGCGTTCTGGGATGTGATCGTGTTGCATGGCCTGGATTTCCTCACTACACAGCTGGGTCCCAAGGGAGGATCTTAGATGATATATGCAGACAGATTTGGTATCACTGGCACCTTTTAGGGTACAGTGTCTGAAATCATATAGCACCATTCTTCTGTACCCTTTGAAGAGGGCAGACCCATAACCTGCTAGAACTCTAACGGAGAAAACGTCAGCCCAACATGCCAGTGGGCATGTGAATGAAAAACAGAAATACATACAAATGTGCATGTATAAACATAGTATATATAACTATTTACAAACATAAAAATATCATCTTTGGAAATATTGTATGCCATGTTTAAGAGTGAAAGGAAAAAAATCAGTGCAAAGTATTAAGTATTATGTGTGATTGTTTTGTAAGTGATTTGATCCAAAGAATCACACAAATAGAAATGTATTACAAAAAAAGAAAGAACATTTGAGAAAGAAATAAAATTTTACTTAAATTATTAAGGTTTATTGTAGAATGAAATATTTTTAAAATATGTTCATTGGCCATAGAATAAATGTAGCTGCAGTGAAACAGGAGTTGGTAGTGCCAAATGCTGTAAATGAGATACTTTAGAGTCACTACTCCTATTTGCTGCTTTCTGTTGCAGATTCAGAAACTGACATTAGCTCTGTTTCACAAAAAAAAAAAAAAAAAAAAAATGCTAGTGGATGTTTGAAAGGAATGAAAGATTATATAATGTTTGAAAGAAGTTAAATGTAATAGTTTTATAAGTTCATATGACTAGTGAATTGATGCAAGAAAGTTAAAAACTCACGCATCATTTTTGTATTCTATACTTTTTTCTTGAACTTTTTAAATACCTCCTCTTTTATTCTAGCACATTCAGCTTCTCTTCCTGCCTTAATCTGAAAGATTGAAAGAGAAAGGAAGAAATATGATGCCCAGTGACAAGGGCAGCGATACTTAAGCATTGGTCTTTGCATTATTCAGTATTGTAGCCCTACATTCCTAATAAACACTCATCCATTTAAAAAAAAAAGAGTATTAATGATGAAGCTTTCATTTAGCATCAGCTAAATTCCTGGGGTGGGTGAGGGAGATCAGGGGCTAGCAGAGCGTTCATGCCTGGGCTTCAGTAAATGTACTTGGAGCTTGGCTTTTGTCAAAGTCTGTGCCTTGCATACCTCTTTGATTGTTTTCCTCCCAGATCTGTCAGTGAGCAGTAAAAGTCCTAGCTGTGTGGCTTCTCTATCAAGCTTAACTACAACTTTATGGTATTGCTATTTCACACAGGGTAGTGGAAATGATGTTTTTTCCTTCCCACTGTGGAGTAATTAATGTTTTCAGGCTTCATAGTGCCACCCTACTTCCAAAGACTTTGAATTTTTAGTATTTAGATCTCTACATCTTATAGGATTCATTCCTAATAGTTTTCAGCACTTGCTGGGACAAGTACTATGCATAGCCTTAAAGGTGTCAAGGATAAGAGACAGCTTAAAATACACAAAAGGACATATGATGGCAACTCTTTATCCCTGAAGTGTAATGCGCTCCTTGGCACTCCCTGGCCCATGGAGTTTTCATTAGTGAACATTACACCCTAGGGATTCCTAGGAATTTCTCCTGATAGAAATGAGATCACAAGATAAATTTCATGGTCTTCCCCTCCTGGATTTTTTTTTTTTTAAGATTTATTTATTTTTACTGGGAAGTCAGATATACAGAGAGGAGGAAGATCTTCCATCTGATGATTCACTCCCCAAGTGACCGCAACAGCCGGTGCTGATCTGATCCGAACCCAGGAGCCAGGAACTTCCACCAGGTCTCCCACGTGGGTACAGGGTTCCAAGGCTTTAGACTGTACTCGACTGCTTTCCCAGGCCACAAGCAGGGAGCTGGATGGGAAGTGGAGCTTCCAGCATTAGAACCAGCACCCATGTGGGCTCCCAGCGTGTTCAAGGCGAGGACTTCAGCGGCTAGACCATCACACCAGGTCCCTCACCTGGATCTTCACTGTGGTTTTCAGTAGTATGAAGAAGGGCTGCAGAGATTAAAAGGAGGACAAGAACCAGATAGATGTTTATCTTCCGGGAATCTAGGCTATGGCCTTTATTACCCTTAGGATGTTTTATGGCAGCATCTTCCCAGGCCTGGGAGCTTCCTTAACAGTAACCTTCCTTTCCTTCTTTATTTATAGTCAGCGACGGTGAAGCTGTCAAAGCCGGTGGCTCTGTGGACCCAGCAGGATGTCTGCAAATGGTTGAAGAAACACTGTCCAAATCAGTATCAGATCTACAGTGAGTCATTCAAACAGCATGACATAACTGGTAAAGTATGCAGTATCCAAAATATTTCCCTCTCTGCTTCCCTCCCCATGCGCATCTCCATGGCCTTTCCCATACCCTTCCAATGAGGCAGCATCCTCCTGACTCAGTGTTCTGGCATGACTTTACGTGAAAAGGGGTGAGAAACTCCAGATCCATGTAAGCTGTGCTACTTAACAAATGTAAGTGCTTATTATAGGAAACCGTGGATTGTGTCTACTCTAATAATATATTCATTGTGAGAAGTTGCAGGATCCAAGAGAATATAAAAGCCTAGAAGTCCTACAGAAAAAAAAGAGAGAAAGAAAACCTTTCAATTTAACTTGGTTATAACATCATTAAGTGGCTCTTCTGGGGAAAGCTTTTAAGTAGAAAATTCTTTTCTTTTTCCATTAAGTTAAACTTTATTGACTTTTTTGACTTGTAAACTATTCAGGCTTGTAAAACAATCCAAGGTGACAAGTCAGTTTCCTCAAGATTTCTATCCCCCAGTCATGCAGTTTCCTGATGATACATTTTCCCCCATATTCGGTGATGTTCCGAGTTTCTGATATGAATTCTGCCACTACCTGAGTGCATACAAGATGAATACATGTGGAGCATTGCATCAAGGCTACAAGGTTTTCTAGCCTTATATATGTGGAGGTCAAGATACGCTGGGCACAGAAAATAGTCATAGCATGATTAATGACAAAGGTCATTAAGTTTAAGTCTCTTAGGCAGAGGAAAGGTTGGGTGAGATGGATCAAATTTTCCATTTGGGGAGCATGCCAGACCCCACCTGCCCTCCTTCCTGTAGGTTTTGCCCAGTATGTGAGGGACACTCCTCCCTCCCTCCTATGTTTCACCTACACTGCAAAGAAGTGAGCCATGCCTGAGCGTGGTCATGTTGAGAGATGTTGATTAAAGGGTAGATCCTTTCTTTTCCTAAGAGAATGTTGACATGCTAGATTGTGCGATAGTGACCTGCCATTGAGCAGCCCAGCAGAACTCTAGATGCTAGAGTCCCTTTCCAACCCATTTCTACCTTGAGGAATCCTAACCCTTTCAGTTATTCTATGCATTTTTGTCACTTTAAAATGGTATACGTTAAGTAAACAGTAGTCGTTTTTTTTTTTTTTTCAATTCAGTTCTTTCTCTGTAGCCCTGTGGTCTAGTGCAGGTCCTTCCTAGAGAAGGGCTTGGCTGGTGACTTTCGAAGTGGGTTGCTTGGAGCCCTTTGCTGCCAAAGGAGCAGCAGGTGTGCTTTGTGTGTAAACAGATGTGTTGAACAGCAGCAGCTCCCAACCATATGCAAATCGTATACAAAACCCTGGGATTTTTTTTCTAGCACTAAATAAGTGTTTTTTTTTTTTTTTTTAAAAACTGGTCAGTTGTTACCATGGCTTCCTGCTGACCAAGATAGTAATGTCTAAATATGTGGAAATATCTAAATATATGCTACCTTAACACACTTCAGTGTAGCCCAAGCTGAGTTAGCAAATGAGAGTGAAATCCTGATATTATAAAAACTGAACTTTGTCTCTTCCCTCAATTCAAGCTAACCTCCCTATGGGGTAAAAATCCCTGAACTCCCCAAGGCACTGTGATATTTAGCTCAGATTCCAAGTGTTAACATCGTGTGCATTCAGCCCCTCCCTTCAGAACACAGGAGAATCTTAGGGAGAGTCAGTTGTTCCAGCCCTAGAAGTAATCGGTCACCACTCACTTGGTTGAGATGGCCTGCATCACCAAGGGGTTGAACTTCAGATTCACATATTAATATGATAATAGTGGCCGAGCATGTCCCATCATCTGTTACTAGAAAGTAGATCATCTCCTGTTAGGGTTGAGAAAAATGGGGGGCCCTTGAGGGAAGGCAGAATATTTGTAGTGGTTTTCAGAAAATGAGCATTACACTCTTCTGAATGAAAAGACTTTGAGCCCCAGGGCTCATGGAGTGATGGTGCCTCTTCCCAAGGTTTCTGCTAACTGTGACAAGATCAGGGCTGTGTCTCAAGTACCTGTTCACATCATGGTGACCCAGTTCATCTCTGCCAAACACTTCCTGTACTGGGACATCACAACCCTGGAATCTGGGTTGTTTAACTTCACATCCTCATGTCCAAAGATGATGATGGCACCTGTCTCAGAGAGTCACTGTAGAGATGAAATGAAATCATCCAGATGAGCCGCTAAGCTAACCATTGCACTGCCAAAATCATGCTGTTATTCATGTCAAGCCTCATCTGGAAGTGTCAAAAAGCATACTGTTTCTTTGTTCTCGGGGCAGCCTATTTTTTGGCAAGTGAAAAAAGGAGGGAATTATTTAGGGATTCAGGGAACAGAGAGAATAACTTTAGACAAACATTTGGTGCGTATCTCTTTGACTTTCACTTGTTGGAGGCCTCTGAAGATGACCCTCTCCCCGTTTTCTTTGTCTTCTGCCTCTCTAAAGTGAATGTGAGGTGCTCCAACGACCAAGAGCGCCAGACAGCCGCTAAATAGCTTCCAGGATTTACACCAGTCAGTCTGTGCTTACCAGCCCTGTGCTGCTGGCAGACACAGGAAACTCAGAACTCTGAAAACTACTGATACACATGAGGCAAAAAGGCTTGTCAATGTGACGGAATGCCAGGGTAATGTGCAGCAGGCAGTGCAGATGGTAGAATGACTTAAGGAGAAAGCAGGAGAGTCATTATAAGGGCTGAGTGGAAGCCTCATATTGCAGTATAGCTGTGTGACTGGACCCTTTTTGCTGCACTTGAACTTTCCTCACCTGCAAAAAGGAGATGATGATGATGATGATGGATTCTACCTGCTGGTGTTGCTGTCAAGGTCCTGCAGCATACAGTGAATGTGAGGTGTGATTGATCCCTAAGTGCTATCCTGCTTTTAGTAAAAACAAAATAACACACACAACTTTGAGTTCAGTTCACTTAACATGATTGTTCTGCTAACTGGCAAAGGAACATCTAACAGCAATATCCAGGAATAATGTGCAAGGCTATAGGAAAATGGTCCACATGTGTCATGTGGCTGAGATGCAGAAGGGCTATGCTCCAGGCATTCTTCGTTTTTTTTTTTTATATCATTTTATGACACAGTTTCATAGACTGTGGGACTCCCCGAGCCTCTCCCCAAGACCTCCCCCCATATTGAATTCCTCCATATTGTTACAGTAGTACAGATCATATCCAGTCATGATTCCTTCATTGCGGGTATGGATCATGTGGAAAGTCCAGCATGTTATTGTCCAGATAAATTCAACAGTTTCATTGGGAGACTATCCTTCATCTGAAAGTAGGGCTGACAGAGTATCATCTCTTCCAATGAGATGTCACTACACAACTTCAACAACAGGAAGAAACATCGAAATTAGCACCATCATGAAGTTAAATAACATGGTATTGAGTGACCAATATTTTCACTAGAGGCTCACCAGGCATTCTTCTTAAGTCGAGGATCTCCAACAGTGTGATCACCAAGTAAGCATGTTACATCAGTGTAACGTACAAACATCCTTGATTTGGAAGCAAATGACCTGATGATGGCAAATAAAAAGGAAGTGTGCTGAAATCACATTCAGCTGCATCAAATCTTCCTGGCTGACCTCTAACCCACAGCCCTCTTTCACGTATCATAGTTGTATAATGTCACAAATGTTAGTCTCTAAATTGAAAATAATGTTGATCTTAAAGGCTGGTTGGCAAGTCTAAGTGGAAGGATGTGTATGACCTAGCTGAGTGCCTGACACGTCATACACTTTGATCCATCTAGCAAGTATTTATGTAATATCCACTACATATCAAATTTTGGAAAACTGTGTGAAAAGATCCATTGGGAAATACCATCATTATGTATACTATATTATTCTAAATTTTCTATTTTATTATATCAATTCTTTACAGAAGGAAAATTATAAATTAAACCTGGTCCAAGTAATATGTGTTCTAAATAGAAGCAGGATTTGGTTCTTTATTTTATGCCAGGTATTCAGTGGGAGTTTTGTTTTTATTAATTTTTTTTCTTTTTAACACAGGTAGGGGTAGGGTGGGAAAAAAGAGCATATTCCCCCAGATGCCCCAAGAGTCCAGGACTAAAGCTAGCCAGGGCCAAGGCCACAAAGTGGAACCTTAATTCAGGCATCCCACGGCAGCAACACTGCCTGCCAAGATGGGCACTGCCAGGAAGTTGGACTCAGCAGCAGGATCCAGGATTCAAACCCAGACACTCTGATGCAGAATGCTGTGTATTTGTTTGTTTGTTTATTTGTTAACATTTCATGATACTGTTCCATAGGCTCAGGGATTTCTCTTTCCACTCCTCCCTCTGTTTCTCCCTGTATTACTATAGTAGTGTAGTCCTTCACCAACAGTCACAAGTCCAGGATTCTGCTGTTGGCCTCATGGCATTGTAGTATAGACAATGGTAAAAAGTCTAGGTTACTGACCACTAGATTAAATGGCCTTTTCCACCATGGAACTTAGAACATTCCTGAAGGGTTGGGCGGGGGGAGATAGTCCTATGTGACAGAATTTTTGTCTACTGTTCTGAGGACTCTGTCCCACAGAGTCATGGCTGTTTCCCTGTCACTAGGGAAAAGAGGAGTTTTGCCTGCATTACACACTTTGTTTCCTCCTTCCTGACCTTTAATTGTAGCCACTGCTTGGAGTCTCATTTAAGATTGTTCTAATGGGCCCATCAGTTTCCTCATTAATCAGTCAAATTAAAATCTTAAACGTGTTCATTTTTGCATTTGTATGAGAGTCACAATGGTGACCTTTTTTGAAAAACTACGCTTTAATGTCAGTAGTATTCAAAATTTGTTTTTAGGTTTATACAGTGTCACTGTATTAGCATTTCTCTTATGCCTTAGTTTGAAGGACATTAAATACAAATTCCTGCCCCCAACCATTGCTCTACAGCATGAGAAAACATGAGATATATTTTAGCCCAGCAGTACTCAAAGCCTCATGCAAATTTCCTAATACAACTTCTGATCATTTCTTTGTGTCCAGAAG